TGGTGCGAGGCGCGAGGCGCGCAAGCAGTCGACGGGGGAGAGGTCGGCGCGCGTCGGCGTTGGTGCTGGCGAGGACTCGGAGGGAGGGCGCGAGCCATCCTGGCCCAGAGCCGACGCGCGGGCCCGCGAGGAGATGGAGGGCACCGCCCCGGGCCGGCCCACCACGACGGCCGTCCTCGGGAGCCGGGCGGGCGAAGGCCCGCGCGAGGAGGCAGGCTGCGAGGGGGGGGGGAGGCCGGGGGAGGCCGAGCAGCGGGGCCCCCGACCAGCGGAGGTGTGCGCGAGGATGGACGGGCCTCGTCAGGGCCGCCGTGAGCGGCGCAGTGCGCGCCCACCCGACCAGCGGGCGGGCAGGCGACGAGCGCGCCCCTCCCGCGTGTCGGGGGGAGCGCGCGCGTTCTGCGCGGGATCGGCCACAGAAGCGGTGCCGCGCAGCCATCGTCGCATCGCACTGTGATGTGATAGTTGCCATGTGGCGGTTGTCTGTTCACGCCCCCAGCTCTCTTCAAATTTTTCCGTTCCATCTCTCCTCCATGTCTCCCCTCTCCCCCTCCTTCTCTTCCTCCGGTTCCCCCCTCCTTTCCTCCACCCTTTTCTCCATCCACCTGCTTATTCCGATTCTCGTCCCTCCTCGTCCTCTTCTCCCCTCTTTTCCTCTTCCTTTTCTTTCGCGTCCCCGTCCCCCTTTTTCGAATTGCACAAGGGCTGCTTCTTGGCGAATGGATTTCTCGGGGCTCGTGGCCCCACCCTTCGGGCGTCGCCGGGCGTGCCCAAAAGAATGTAGCGCAAACAGGGCGAACCGTAGCAGCCCCTGCTCGCCAGTCAGAACAAACCCCGCCTCATTTTTCTCGTCCGTTTCTTCCCCCTCTTTCCCGGAGGTCTTTGGAGGGTCCAAGTCTGGGGGATTCCCAAAAGTTTCTACAGGTTCCCGAAGGCATTGTGGCCGCGCGCGGCGTCGGACGGAGCCGGTTCGGACCCCTCAGTTACACTCAGTTCCCCTCAGTTACACTCAGTTTCTTTCAGTTGCATTCAGTTTCCTTCAGTTACACTTAGTTTCCCTCAGTTACATTCAGTTTCCTTCACTTACACGCAGTTTCCCTCAGTTACATTCAGTTTCCCTCAGTTACACTCAGTTTCCCTCAGTTACACTCAGTTTCCCTCAGTTACATTCAGTTTCCTCTCGGTTGCATTTAGCTTTCCTGGCGCTGCGTTTGCGGCTTGGTATCCTGCAGCTGCAGCCTCTTTCTGACGCAAGGAACTGAGACGAAACTGAGGGAAAACTGAGGGGGACAGCGGCGCCCCTTTGTCAACACCTCCCTTCGCCCCCTCCTTTCAGTTTCCGTCAGTTGCGCTCAGTTTCCTCTCGGTTGCATTTAGCGTTCCTGGCACTGCGTTTGCGGCTTGGTACCCTGCAGCTGCAACCTCTTTCTGACGCAAGAAACTGAGACGAAACTGAGGGACAACTGCGGGGGACAGCGGCGCCCCTGTGTCAACCCCTCCCTTCGCCCCCTCCTTTCCCATCTTCTTCCGCCATCCTTCCTCGCTGCTCTGCCGCCCTCATGTTCCTTCCTCCCCCCTCCCTTATCCGTGTCCTGTTCCTGTTGTTGTTGCTCCTCCTCCTCCTCCCCTCGTACTTCGGGGCGTCAGGCTTTCCGGGGTCGCGACCTCATGATGATGATGATGCTGATGATGATGATGCTGATGATGATGGTGATGCGTATAACGATGAGGAGATGAATATGATTGTGACGGACAGCGGGGGTGAACAACATGATGGGTCGAGGACAACGAGGAAGAGGAAGAGGATGATGATGATGACGGTGATGATGATGATGCTGATGATGATGATGCTGATGATGATGGCGATGCGTATAACGATGAGGAGATGAATATGATTGTGACGGACAGCGGGGGTGAACAACATGACGGGTCGAGGACAACGAGGAAGAGGAAGAGGAACAGGATGAGGAGGATGGTGGTGGTGGTGATGGTGAGGAGGATGAGGATGAGGATGAGGAGGAGGAGGAGGAGGAGGAGGAGGAGGAGGAGGAGGAGGAGGAGGAGGAGGAGGAGGAGGAGGAGGCGTGTGGCGCCGCCGGTTCTGGCTCACCACGCTGCGGCGCCGCATGCTAAGCACGATCCGGTCCCACAGCGCACAGCGTCATCTCCTCGAGCTCCTGCCAGCCTCCCGCCCCGCGGAGCGGAGCGACACGCTATCAGCTCGCCAAGGCATAGCGTGCCGCCAGGGGCGCCGCTGCGACACGCTCAGCAAAAGTCCCTGGCCGTAGGCTCCTTGGCGGTTTTGGGCCTTGGCTGGGACTGCCAGCGCGTCCTTGTCGCCACGAGGCCAGGTTTTCCAGAGAACTATCCGGCAGGCTGCAAACGCCACATTGGGCGTATCAGAAAAGGGCCTTGCCTTCAAGGGTCGAAGGAGTTGTCATATCATCCTCGGCGGAAGGCAGCGGAAGGGCGGCGGAAGGTCGTCGGAAGTAGAAAATGTCCCCCCAAGAGATGAAAACAATTTTGGGTTCAAGGTCTCCGAGACCGCCCACATGAGGGGTCCGAGGGGCCGACAGAAACGGGAGGGGCCCAGATTTCCAGGCGCAATCGAGGCATCATCGGGGGCGCCAGAGAGGGACTACAGGGCGGCAGTCGTCCGGGATTGCGGTTCCCATAGCTTAGAGTTATGGGAAACGCTATTGTGGCTCATTGAGTGCGGTTTTTGAAGGAAAATTGCGTTTCCCATCACTCGCAAGGTGTAGGGCCTCGTCCAGGGAGGTTCTTTGCTGGCGTTTTCGTGGGCTCACTGGGGTTTTGCCAGCCTCCGGATGCTCAGCCGCAGCCGCGCCTCGCCAGGAGCGGCCCCCCAAGTGTGCCTGGATCGTCCCTTGAGAGGCCGCCGGAGACCGGGTGTGGCGTCCTGAAAACACCAGGCGCCCGACAGGGGGTCAGGACTGTGACTTCTTCTTTTTCTTCTTCCTCCTCCTCCTCTTCCTCTTCTTCTTTTTCGTCTTCTCCTTATTCCTCTTCCTCTTCTTCTTCTTCTTCTTATGATTTTCCTATATTTACATTATTATTATTTTCTTATTCGTATTATTCGCCCTCTTCGTCATAACACTGATGGTTACCATTGTTTCTTGTTATGTTGTATTTGGTATTGTTTTCTTGTTATCATGATTGCTCTTCGCATTCGTATTTGTACTCGCATTCGTATTCGCATTCCTATTCGTATCATATGTATTTTTCTATACGTATTATCAGTAGTTGTGATGTCTATGATCATCAGAGTATGAGTATAATCATTATGTTCGTATAATTCGTATCATTCTTATCACTCTTATCATTATTATTGACATTATTATTATCAACCTTTTTGTTTTTCTTCTTCTGATTCTTTGTTCAACACGCTCCAAGGCCCCCGCTCGTCCGCGCCCCATGCTTTTGGCCCCAATGCGCACCACCCCCTCTTCCTGGCCCCCCTGGGTCCGAGCAGATGGGGTTGGAGGATCGCGCCGCATCGTCGATGCATCGGCGATGCGGCCCGATGTGGAGCTCGATTTTCTCCGCGCTGGCGTCGTCGATGCATCGCCGATGTCGCCGATGCATCGGCGATGTATCGCCGATGTATCGCCGATGTGTCGGTGAGGTTGTCTTGAAAAATGAAGCCAGGATCGAGGACCGAGGATAGGATCGATGACCGAGGCGAGGATCGAGGACCGAGGTTCCAGGTTCGAATGCCTGCACTCCGATTCAGACTGATTGCGTCATGCCTTAACTCGGGTAGCTGAGGGAAACTGAGGGTAACTAGGTGTAACTAGGTGTAACTAGGTGTAACTAGGTGTAACTGGGCGTAACTAGGTGTAACTAGGTGTAACTAGGTGTAACTAGGTGTAACTGGGCGTAACTAGGTGTAACTAGGTGTAACTAGGTGTAACTAGGTGTAACTGGGTGTAACTGGGTGTAACTAGGTGTATCCGGAAGCGCTCTCATGGCGTTTGCTGCGACGCTCGTTGCCGGGACACTGCCCGAAGGCGACAAACAGAAGCCAACTCCCAAAGCTTCGATCACCGACCATCGGTCCTCCCCCTCCCGCCCGCGTCGATGTTCCCTCCCCTCCCTCCTGCACGAGGGGCGAATGTACCCGTATCCGCGCCCCCGCGGTCTGGATTCCGGAGCCAAATCCTGCGGATAGACAGTCGCGTGGATATGCTCCGCGAAGGGCATCCGCGAACAAACGCTCCGCATCCGCCAGGTCACGGGCCGGGAGAGCCGGCTCGCGAGGCCGCGGTTGCGGACATGTGTTTGCGTCCACGCTTCCCCCCCTTTTTGTCAGATGCCTCCGACCGGGGCCACGTGGGGTATACAAAAACCACGACCCAGGTCGAACGTCATGCAAACCAGACCCACGACCAGGACCCTCGCCCACCCCCAAAGGGCCGTTGTGGGTATAGTCCATTAATTTCTGTTGGGCGGATGCTCCCTCTCTCCATCCCCTTTCCGTGTCTCCTGGGGGCGGGTTTGGGGCTCCTGGAGTGTCAGAAACGGATCCAGGGTCAACCGCTGTACCAGATGGACTGCACGTCTGGGCACCGATTTTGAGCAGATCCGGCTTCATCCCCTCCTTCCTGACCGATTCCCTGGGGCCCCAGCCAGTTCAGACCCCGTGGCCGCCGTCAAGCTCAAACCGTTTTCTATGTTCGCTATGGCTCCAGGGATCTCTTGAAGGTTTCTGGGTACGGGTTCTCCCCGAGGAAGGGAACGGAGGAAGGAGGAAGGAGGGAGGAGGAGGAGGAAGGAGGAGGGAAGGAGGTCGACGGCTTCAACTGTTGTTTTTGTGTTTTGCCCTGACTCCAGGGTCCGCTGGAGGCTTTTGTATATTTCCGGAGGAAAGGAAAACTGGCCGCCTCCAATTTCCCTCCCCCCCTCCCTCCCCGCCCCCTGCCTCTCCTCTTCCGGCCCTGGCACGCGCCTTGCGGCCGCCGGGGGGGCAGCCGCGGCAGGCCTTTGCGCGTGAGCAGGAACTCAAGCGGGAGATGGAGTCGGAGGCCCCCCTGCGCGCAGCGAGGGGCCGGACGAGGAGAGACGGGGGGTCGAGGGCTTAATGCTGGAGCGGGCTGGCAGTCTGCGGTGGCCCAGCACTAGTTCTGGCCAGCAGGAAGGGGGCCTTCACGCGCTTCGTGGCCCCATAGGGAGCTCCACCGAAGGCCTCAGTGGCGGGGTTCGCATGCAGCCGCCCCACCCATTTCGGCACATACCTCACGCGTTTGGTAGCCTTTTCAGGAGCTTCCTCGAGGGCCCCTTTGGCATTGTTCGCATGCGGCCGCACCCGTTCCGACACACCCCTCACACGCGCTTCGTGGCCCCACGGGGAGCGCCACCGAAGGCCCCAGTGGCTATCTTCGCATGCGACCACCCCATCCATTTCGGCACACCCCTCACGCGTCCCGTGGCCCCATACGGAGCTCCACCGAAGGCCCAAGTGGCAGGGATCGCAAGCGGTTCCCCGCCCATTCCGGCACACCACTCACGCGTACCGTGGCCCTATAGGGAGCTCCACCAAAGGCCCCAGTGGCCATATTCGCATGCGGTCGCCCCACACATTTCGGTACACCCCTCACGCATCCCGTGGCCCCATAGGGAGCTCCACCGAAGGTCCCAGTGGTCATGCTCTCATGCGGTTCACCGCCCATTTCGGCGCACCCCTCACGCGTACCGTGGCCCTATAGGGAGCTCCACCGAAGGCCCCAGTGGCAGTGATCGCAGGCGGTTCCCCACTCGTTTCGGCACACCCCTCACACCTGTCGTGGCCCCATGGGGAGCGCCACCGAAGGCCCCAGTGGCCATGCTTTCATGCAGTTAGCCACCCCATCCATTTCGGCACACCCTCCACGCGTCCCGTGGCCCCATGGGGAGCTCCACCGAAGGTCCCACCCAGTGCTAGAGTTCGCATGCGGCTGCCCAACTCATTCTGGCACACCCCGCACATGTTCGCATCTTCCCCTCCCCCTGCTGCCCCCTTCCTCCCATGTCTGCATCTGGCGTCCACATGTCCATTACGGCACACCCCTCGCGCGTCCCGTGGCCCCATAGAGAGCTCCACCGAAGGCACCAGTGGCAGGGTTCGCAGGCGGTTCCCCGCCAATTCAGGCACAACTCAAATGCTTCGTGGCCCCATAGGCAGCTTCACCGAAGGCCCCAGTGGCAGGGATCGCTGGCTGTCCCCCGCTCATTTCGGCACACCCCTCACGCGCTTCGTGGTACCATAGGGAGCTCCACCGAAGGCCCCAGTGGCAGGGTTCGCATGTGGTTCCCAGCCCGTTCCGGCACACCACTCACACATATGCGATCCCCCGTCCATTTCGGCACACCCCTCACACGTTTTCCCCGCCCAGTTCGGCACACCCCTCACACGTTTCGTTGCCCCCGAAGGGAGCTCCACCGAAGGCGCCAGAGGCTTGGTTCGCATGCAGTTCCCCGCCAATTTCGGCCAACCCCTCACGTTTTGCTCCCATGGGGAGCTCCACCGAAGGCCCCAGTGGCAAGTTTCGCATGCGGTTGCCCACCCATTTCGACACACCCCTCACGCGCTTCGTGGCCCCATGGGGAGCTCCACCGAAGGCCCCAGCGGCAGGTTTCGCATGCGGTTCCCCGCCCATTTCGGCACACCCCTCACACGCTTCGTGGCCGCATTGGGAGCTCCACCGAAGGCCTCAGTGGCAGTGTTCCCACGCGAATCTCCGCCTATGCCGGCACACCCCTCACGCGATTCGTAGCCCCATAGGGAGCTTCACCGAAGGCATCAGTTTCAGGGATCGCAGGCGGTTCTCCGCCCATTTCGGCACACCACTCAAACGTCCCGTGGCCCCATAGGGAGCCCCACCGAAGGCCTCAGCGGCAGGGCTCGCATGCAGTACCCCGCCATTTCGGCACACCCCTCACGCGTTTCGTGGCCCCATAGGGAACTCCACCGAAGGCCCCAGTGGCAGGGTTCGCATGCGGTTCTCCGCCCATTCCGGCATACTCTTCACATGTTATGTGGCCCCATCGGCCGACCCACCCAAGGCCTCAGTGGCAGGGATCGCTGGGTGTTCCCCACCAACTTCGGCACAACCCTCATACGCTTCGTGGCCCCATAGGGAGCTCCAGCGAATGCCTCAGTGGCAGGGTTCGCATGGCACAGCCGCACCCGTTCCGGCATACCCCCCTCACACGCTTCATGGCCCTATAGGGAGCTCCCAAGAGAGGCCCCAGTGGCAGTGATCGCAGGCGGTTCCCCACCCTTTTCGGCACATCCATCACATGTTTCGCTGCCCAATAGGACCTCCACCGAAAACCCAAGTGGCAGGGATCGCAGGTGATTCCCCGCCCGTTTCGGCACACCTCTCACACGTTCCGTGGTCCCATGGGAAGCTCCACCGAAAGCGGTGCCACAACGTTGTACTCTCAACGGCATATGGAAGGGTTCGGCGCCAGGATAGTTGTATCGGTCTGACTTTGGTGGGCGCTTTCAGGCCCTGGGACCGTCAACACCCGCTCTGGTGTGAATGACTGCACCAGACGAACCAAGGGAGTAGCCTGGGCACGGATTTTGAGCGGATTTGGCTTCATCCGCCCTCCTGACCGATTTCCTGGAGTTCCTGCCAGCTCAGACCCCTGGCCGCCTTCAAGCTCCAACCGTGTTTTACAATCGCTTTGGCTCCAGGGACCTATGGAGGCTTCTGGGTACGGGTACTCCTAGAGGAAGGGAAGGGAGGGAGGAGGAAGGAGGGAGGAGGGCGAAGGAGGAGGGAAGGGGGTCGAGGGCTTCAACCGTTTTCGTTGTGTATTGCTCTTGCTGCAGGGACCGCTGGAGGCTTCTGGATACTTCCGGAGGAAGGGAAAACAGCAGGAGGAGAAAGAAGGAGGGAAAAGGGGTCGGGGACTCTTGGAAGTTTTTGTCCTTCGCGCGTCTTCAGAATGTGTAGGAAGTTCCCGTAGAGGTTCCCCACTGGTTCCTTCCCGTTCCTTCCCCGTCCTCCCCAGTTTCTCCCCCGCCTTGGCAATTCCCACCTCTCCATCGGAATCCTATTTTCCTTCCTCCCCCCTCCCCCCCTACATCAACCCTCCCTTCCATACCCCCTCACCCTGATCCCGCTCCCTCCCCCTGCCCCCCACCCACCCCGCCTCCCCGCTATCCGATGCTTCGTCACCTCCCTCGCCCCCCGTCCTTTGTATCCCCTCCCCCTTTTCCCCCCATGGGTAGATCAAAAGATACCGATGCCGCTGCTTCAAGGCCCTGTCCTGCGGTGCGTTCTGACTCCAATTTCAAAGCGAATTCAGCGGTGGCGGCGAGGGCTTCCCAAGGAGGCCCAGAGAGGCGAAATCGTGGCCAGGGTAGTGGTACCGGTACCTCTGTCTCCTCCCCCCCTCGGAACCACGGCGGCGGCGACGACGTCTCGCCGTCGGCCCCGATGCCGCAAGGGCTCCCCCGAGGGCGCGAAGTTATTCGCGCTTCGCGGTCCTCGTTTCTCCTCCTCCTCCTCCTCGTCCTCCTTTTGTCCCTTTGGGGGGGCGGCGCGAGAGCGCGAAGTGATTCGCGCTCTCGCGCTTCGCGGAGCGCGAGGCGCGAAGTTGGGAGCCCTAGGATGCCGTGGCCGCCGACGCCGACGGGGCGGCAGGCGGCGGGCGGCGTGCGGCGGCGACCGCTCGCCCTCCGAGACGCCCGCAGGCCGCGGGCGACGGCGACCCCCCGCCGCCCCCGGACGGGCCGCCGCCCGCGGAGGCCGCGGCGGGCTCCGCGCAGCCGCCAGGACGGGGCCCCGTTGCGCGCGGCCCGTCGCGCCGTCGGCGTCGTGCGGCGTCGTCGTCCTCCTCGTCGGCGTCGCTCCCACGAGGGCGCGAAGTTATTCGCGCTATTCGCGCTCCGCGGTCCTCGCTCCTTCTCCCCCTCCTCCTCGTCCTCCTTTTCTCCCTTTGGGGGGGCGGCGCGAGAGCGCGAAGTTATTCGCGCTTCGCGCTTCGCGGAGCGCGAAGCGCGAAGTTGGGAGCCCTAGCGTGCGGCCCGTCGCGCGGAGAGTCCTCCCTCCGGAGATCGCCGCCCGGGGATCCGGGTCGGCCTCCAGCGGCAGGCCCCGCGCAGCCGCCAGGAGGGGCCCCCGCTTGCGGCGGCCCGCTCTCACTCGGCCCGTCGCGCGGGGGGGTCGGCCGAGCGCGAGAGCCCCGACAGCAAGAGCAGGCCACGGGCGCCCGTGCCTGCAATCGAGGCGCTGAAGCAAGGACCACTCTCTGGGCTCGGAAGAAGCTTTGGTTTTCGGGCCGTTCCTTACATCTACACCCTGGCCTGGCCTCGGGACCGTCAAGGAACGGCTCGGGAGGAAAAACCGGTCCCGCGGAGTTCAACAGAACATATTTATTCCTGAATTGATGTTTCGTTCGAGCCTACGAAGGATGCGAAGATTGTCCCGTGGACCTACCAACATGCGACGCGTAGATTCAACGAGAGCACCAATTTTGGGCAAATCAATTGTGTAGTCCACCCTGACTCGAGGAGTGGTCGAGAGGTCGGGGTCCCTCGCCTCGGAAAAGCATCGAGACATGGGATATTTGGGCTTGTGCAGCTCCTCGTGCAGGGGAAGGCCAGCTGCCGCCTGCCGCCTGCCGTCTCGGGGGTCGGTGCCAGCGGGGGTCAGCGCCAGCGGGGATCAGCGCCAGCGGGCTTCCGCCGATCCCTTCCGAGATCCTCTGGCTGACCGAGGATTGGGAACCTGCCTGGAGCCCACCCCGCTCCCCCGGCCCTCCGCTGACCCGATCCGGGAGCGACTTCGTGGCCGGTCTGGGGTTCGGTTCGCAGCGTCGCCGTGGTTGGCCCAGTTTTGCGCCGACCCGCGTTGGAGCGTCCCCGCCGTCGGCTTCAACGTCTGCGGGACCGAGGGCGAGGTGCTGTCGTCGCCGCCGCCGTCGCGGCTGAGGAGGGAGCGGGGAGCACGTGGGCAGGGGGGGGGGGGTCAGATGAGGAAAAGGTGCCGATGCGGCTGCCCCGCCCCCGTTTTCGCCTCTTTGGGCCTCCTGGGAGGCCTTCGTCGCCACCGCTGCCTTCGCCCTGAAGTTCTGTGGCCAGAACGCACCCCAGGAGAGGGCCGTGGAGTGGCGGTATCGGTACCTCCTGATGCCCCCCAGGCGGGAGGAGGCGGGGAGGGGGGGGCGAGTGGGAGGGGACGGGACGAGGCGGCGAGGCAGCGGACGGAGGGGCGCCCGTCGCGCAGGGGAGAGCCTCGGTCGCGCGTGAGATCCGAGGGTGGCATTCGTCCCGCAGTCGCTGCCTGGGGGATCCGGATCGATCTCCGGGGACCTGGGCAGGGGGGGGAATCCAGATGTTCAAGATGCTTGCGCCATCCCGGCGACACCCAGAAGTGCCAGAAGAGCAGATGTGCGGCTTCCGATTTCGTGTGCGGGTGTGTGTGTGTTGTTCCCCAACCAGAGCTTGTCTCTGTAGGGGTCTGGGCCGATTCACACGATTAGGTGAGGTTTGTCACCGATTTCCGCGGCCCGCTTGGGTGCCCGGGTGCCTTCTAGTCCTATAGCCTTATAGCCTTGTAGCCCTATAGCCTTATTCGTAGCCCTGTAGCCCCATAGCCCAATAGCCCTATGTCTCTATATAGCCCTATAGCCTTCTAGCCTTATAGCCCTATAGCCTCATAGCCCTCTCTCTATACATATATATAGCCCAATCGCCCTATAGCGCTATAGCCCTATAGCCCTATAGCCCTATGGCCCAATAGCCCAACAGCCCTATAGCCCTATAGCCCTATAGCCCTATAGCTATGCCTATAGGCCTACAGCCCCATATCCCTATAGCTGCAGAGCCCTATAGCCCTATAGCCCCATAGCCCCATAGCCCCATAGACCCATAGCCCCATAGCCCCATAGCTCTATAGCCCTACAGCCCTACAGCCCTATGGCCCTATAGCCCTATAGCCCTATAGACCTATAGCCCAATGGCCCTACAGCCCTATACTTCCATAGCCCTATAGCCCCGTAGCCCCATCGCCCTATAGCCCAGTAGCCCCATAGCCCTCTAGCCCTAAAAAGACTTTGACTGGGATTTTTCGCCGGTCTCATTTGACACTTCCCGTCGGGTTGATTGGGTGTAGTTGACGTCATCGTCATCCTCCGCGTTTGTTGCAGGCCCCTCTTGGGGGCATCTTGAAGGCCTAGGAGGCGGCCTTTTGGAATTTTTTTAAGACTACATGGGGAGGTTGTGGGCTTTCCTTCGGGACTTCTTTGTGGCCTCTCGGAGGCCTCTGGGGGGGCATCTTGGGGATTTGGGGGGCCATCTTGTGGGGGGGGCTCCCCCTGTAGGGCCTCTCTTGGGCGCCTCTTGGGGCCCTCTTGAAGGCTTTTCTGAAGTCTTGGGGACCTCTCGGGCCGTCTTGGGACCCTCTCGGGCGGGCCAATCCAGGCCTTCTTGGGGGCACCTTGGGCCGTCTTGGATCAGTGTGGGGGGTCTCTCGCGCCACTTTGCGTTTGCCCGCCCGCACAGGCGGGAACGCGATGCAAATTCGTATGGTAAGTACATGATTTGAGCCTCTTGGGGCCCTCTTTCGGCGTCTTGGGCCGTCTTCAGGCTATCTCTGGCGTTCCTGATGCTTTTCCTGTGCATCTTGAGAGATTCCTGGGCGTCTTGGCGCCCACAGAGGCTTGTTTTTGAAACCCCGAGGGTCCCGGAGATGCGCTGGTGCGCTCGAACCACCAGCCCCTCCCCCCCCCATCCCACCACCCCCTCCAACCGCCTCTAATGGGATTTTGGACTCCAGGGGAGAAAGGGGGAGGGGCGTCAGCCAATTATTCGACACGCCTTCTCACCGCCTGCAAGCGCGGGACTTCGGCAGGAGATGATTTTTCCCCCTGGCGATAACAAGCGTGATAGGCGGGGGGAGGAAGGGAGGCAGAGGGCTGGCTGGTCACGTCACGTTTCGCGCTGGCACCGTCTGTGGATGCTCAGGAATGGCTCATTCCCACACGGCGCTGGCGCGACTCGTGACGTGACTAGTGGTCGGCGTCGCCCAAACATGTTAGTACTGTGTTTGCGTCGCCCCCGCCCCCGGGGCGACGCTCGCACAGGGAAATCTTATAACTAGTATGCGCTCAGTGGCGGGCGCTTTCTGGCCATACCGCTCGGGTAATGGTCTACTACAAAACGATTATACTACGTGTTCAGGTTGGACGCATGTCTCCAATGAGGACATGTAGTACTGTAATGTCCTTGTGTGCCCCAAGGAGGGGAAGAGGGTTGGGGCGGGGACGGTTACGGGCGTGATCGCGAGTTCTTACAAAGGATGGGCTCCAGCATGTACCACACATGGCCAGGTCTTGCGCCTGCCGGGGTCCCCGAAGATCGGCCCCCCCTGCTGTCGGTTGTGGGCAGATCCGCGCCTGACACGGGAGTGGTCCTTCGCCAGAGTTGGGGAAACGTAAGACTCGAGTACGCCTGGTCCTTTGCGAGAGTCGGGGAAACGTAAGACCCGAGTGCGCCGGGATTTGGGTTTGCCGGCGCTTTTTGACGAGCGCGTCCTGGGGTTTGACAATGACGGTGCAGTTTTCGTGGGATGAATGGCGTGGGAGTTCGCGAAACATGTTAAGCTGCGTCTCGTCATTTTCCTGGCGGCCCCGTTAGGCCAGCCAGAGCCCCCTTGACCTGAGTCTTACGCCTCCCCGATGGGGGCGGGGCTGGTCACGGCGTGATCGCGAGTGATAAAAGAAGGGCCCATAGCACACAGGGCCAGGTCCTCCGTCTGCCGAGGTCCCCGAAGCTCGTTGCCCCCTGCTGGCGCCACCGCGCAGCCGCGCTTGCAGCGGGGCGAGTGGGCACAAGGAGTTGCAGCAGTGGCAACCCATTGCAAGGGATAGTTCTGATCAGACGGGGAGGAAAGCGGGAGGAAAGAGGGAGAGGGAGGAGGAAGAAAGAGGGAGGAAGAAAGGGAAAGAGGGAGGAGGAAAGACAGGGAGGAAGAAAGAGGGGGGAAAGGGAGCGCCTTGGGGCGGTTATGGATGAATCCCCTGCTGGAGGTTCTGGGCGAATCCCCGCATGACACGGGAGTGGTCCTTCGCCAGAGCGACCTTGAGCTGATGGCCCGCAAGGGCGTGCAGCCGAGAGAAAGGGTGAGGGGGCCTGAGGAGGTTCGAGCGCTGAGGTGCTTGGGCGTTTTTCGCCCCTCGTGAGTCTGGGTGAGGCTTCTCGTGGCCACGGCCTCTTTCCCCCCGAAATTCTGGTCACAACGCACCCTGGGGCGGCCCCCCGGGTGGATCTTTGAGTGGTTTTTGATGGGGTAGGAGGAGGAGGGGAAGAAAGAGGGAGGAGGAGGGGCATGAGGGAGGATGATGAGGGTGAAGGAGGGGGGGAGGGGGGAGGAGATGCGCCGAATAGTAGTTGTTTACATCGGATGGAATGTATTGGGTCGTATGGGTGCGAGCAGAAGTAGAAGGTTTGCACCGGATGGTGAGGGTTGGGTCGGGTGGCTGTGCAGTGTGGTGTTTGGGTCGTATGGATGCGCGCGGCGTTGGGGCGCGAACCACATTTTGAAATCGTGCCGGCCTCCATTATTGAAACGATTGCAGGTTTCCCAGACGAATGTTCGCAACGCTAGGGCGATAACACATTTTAAAACGAACCAACCTCCGCCCTGGACACCGTTGTAAGTGTTAAAACAAATGTGCGCGGCGCTCAGGCCAGAGCCACATGGTGCACACCACGCAGGCTCCACCCTTCAAACTGCTGCAACTTGCAAGTTTCAGTTTCATAGTTGGCGAAAAAGTATCAGGCGAGCCGCCTGGCTTGGCCTACGGACACGTCTGGTGGTGCGACAAGGAGGAGCTGTCCACAGGGAAAAGGAATGGAGGAAGAGGGGAAGAAGGAGGAGGGGGAGGAGGCGATCGGGGTTTGCAGGAGGAAGGGAGCGAAGGGAGGGGGGGGGGTGGTCGGTCGGGCACAGCCTGGAGGCAGACGCTTATGCTGCCTGGTCAGACCGTCGCGCGCCCCACGCACGGCGGTCGCGGGCCTCCATCTTCTGGAAGGGGCTGCTTCACATTCCTCACCTTGGACAGGGAGGGGAAGGAGGGAGGGAGGCGAGCAGTGGCAGAGCAGTGACGGTGCACCGATCCGCACTGTGATTCTGGAGCCGATAGGGCGCGAGCACCGCGGGCATCCGGACGCAGTGAGCACGCGCCTCGGCTTGCAGGGCTGCGGCACCACCTGGACGAAGCGAAACGAGACGGGGGCACGGGCTGGGGGGGCCAACGACGAGCCGCCATCTCCCTGCCCGTCCGCAGGGCCGCCCGCGGCGTCGGTGGCCGCGGCCGCGGCGGCGGCGGAGGCAGCCGCCAGAGCACCTGCGGCGGCGCAGCCGCCGCCGCCCGTGGGGCCGCCGCCATCGGCCGCCCGCGGGGCGACATCTCGGGGTGCATCCTCATCCTCCTCCTTCTCCTCGGCCTTCGAGCCTCCTCCTCCTCCTCCGCCTTGTCCTGGTCTCCTCATCCTACGGTGGGGGCGGTCGATACAGAATGTGCCCAGGAAGCGTCAGACCCTGGAGCATGGAGAGTTTCTTATTTGATGAGGACGGCGTTGGCACCCATGGCAAAGCCTCAATTGGTGTCCCACCCGCTGTCAGACCATGGGTTCCTTATTCCAGGGTTCATTATTTAATCCAACGCCCTCACCGTACTTAGCCCTCCTCCGTCCTTCCCCCTCCTCTCCTCATCCTCCTTTGTTCCTTGTTCAGCTATCCACAATTCCTCATCCCCTCCCTCTTCTCCCCGCCCTCCTCCTCCCCGTCCCTTCCTTTACCACCCCCCTGCCCGGCCGTCCTTCGTCCTCCTCACGCCGTCCTTTACCACCCCCCTTTACCACCCCCCTTTACCCGCCCTTCTTCATCCTCCGTCCTCCTCACGCCTCCTCCTCCGCCCTCCTCTCTCCTCATCCTGCGCTCTGCTGCATCCGCGCCCATGCCACCCGCCCATCGTGACAGCGGATGGCCATGACGGCCAAGCGTGTGAGGGAAGGTCCACTTCCTTGTCATCTTTTCCCCGCCTGCTCATCTGAATCCTGCTCCTTTGCCCTCCTCCCCATCCGCCCTCCTCCCTCTTCCCTTTGTCCTGTCCCCCTCCTCTTCCCTCCCCATACCTGCTCCTCCTCCTCCTCCTCCTCCTCCTCCTCTTCGACCTTATCCCGGGAGGGCAAAGTTTTTGGGGAAGGGGGGAGAAGAGGAGGAGGAGGAGGAGGAGGAGGAGGAGGAAGAGGAGAGGGGATTTGATGAGCTCCAGCCGGCACAACTCCTCCCGGCCTCCGCCCGCCCCCCAAAGCGGTCGGCAATTAGTTGCCCGGCGCTGGCCGGGCGTGACCGCGCTGGGGCAGGTGCCGCTCACGTGGGGCGCGTGCGCTGGCCAAGAGCGCGGGGACCGCGTCCCACAGGAGGGGGGTTTGGGGGGAGGGCAGGGCCTGTGGCGTTCCTGCCCTCGCTGGTCGTCCTGAGGGGGGGGCCCCCCGGCCACGGCCAGGCGCGCCGCCCGATCGCCGGGGCGGACGACAGGGGGGGGGGGAGTGGGAAGGAGGGTGGCGTGAGGTCTGCTGCACGCAGTCAGTTTCGGCCTCGCCGCCCAGCGCGCTGCTTGCGTCAACTGTCGCAGCCGGCACCGGGAGGCGCTGACTCGCTAGCCCTCCCCCATTTGCTGTCACCCCCTCCCGGCGCGGTGGTGTCTGGGAGGGCGTGGTGACGCTTTGGAATCCAGGACGTAAGCTCGCTCCTGCCGCCTCGTGCCTCCTCTTCCGCTTCCTCCTCGTCCCCGACCATTCGCTTAGGCGGTGGCGCGCCGAAGCTGATAAGTTTGGTGTTGGTTCCCTGTCGCCCGAGGTGGCCAGAGCCGTCGGGGCCTCAGAGATCTCCCAGCCTGACATGTGGGCCCTGTCGACGCTTTGCCTCATCTCTTTCCCCCCTTTGAGGAAGAGGAGGGTAAAGAGGGGGGAGAGGGATGGGCACGGTGTAGGAATTGCTCCCCCCCCGTCTTCATACCCCCTTTTCGAGCACACCTTGAGGCCACCGTGGCGGCCGCGGCCGCCGCAGCCGCAGCGGCGATGACGAACTCGACGCTGACGCAGCCGCCGCCGCCGCCGATGCCGCCGATGGCGCCCTACGTGGCTGTGGCGCCGATGGCGCCGGAGGGCGGCTCAGAGCGATCGGGCCAGCTTGTCGTCGTCGTCGCCGTCGTCGTCGTCGTCGTCGTCGCCGTCGCCGTCGAAGTCGTCGTCGTCTTCGTCGTCGTTGTCGTCGGCGCCAGCATTCGGCGATACGTGAAGCTGCCCTTTCTCGGCGGCGAGCCCAGGGGGGAGGTGAGAAGTGGTGGGCCTTCCCAGAAGGCTCGGAGGGCCTCGGGCCTTCAGACGCCGTGCCGCCTGCTGAGAGGGCCTGCCCCCCCTCACCTCCCCCCCCTGGGGGGCGCCGCCGACGTTCGCCTGGTTGCCTTTGCTGCTGGGCCCCGGCGGGGCGTCCCGCGGCGCCCCTCCGAAATCTCCGAAGGCGTCTCGAGGGATTGCCCGTGGGGCGGAGCAGCGCACCTGAAGTGATCGCTGGCGAAGGCCGCGCTTACGGTCAGCCCGCATAGGCAAGGATGAGCAACATTCCGAGGTTACCCTGGCATCCTTCCCCTTCGGCCCATCCTTGGCCGCTCTCGCTGGCCGCGTCCCGCTCGCAAAGTGTCGACATGGACTTCGAAGGCCCTCGCATCCTTCTCGTGCGTGTTCCAAGGCGTGCGTGTTTTTTCACAGGTTGGCTGTACCCGGCCAGTTCCCGAGAAGGCCTTGCCACGCAGAAGGCCGCCAGAGACCATAGGTAGAAGAATGGTGGCTATCAGTCCGCCAGCTGAGGCTGGCGGAAGTAAACGGTCCCCCCTAGAGATGACAGGCTTCTGGGACGAGTCACGTGGAATCAGAGGCGAAGCGTCCTGGCTTGCTCATCATAGGCCCACCAAACAATGTTCTCAGAACCTTGTGTGGTGTGCGCGAAATGTGCTTAGAACATGTATGGCTGGCACCGTTGTGTTTTAATCAATCGGCTTTATGTTCTAGGAACTCACTTGTTGTTATTCGAACGTTCTTTTGTTCTCAGAGCATGTAGAGGTAGACCAGGAATGCCGGGACGGTCGGTCCCTGCTCAATGGAAGTTGAGTCGTCGTCGTCGCTGGCGCTGTCGTTGTGGTCAATGGCCTGGCCCGCGCCGATAGTCGGAGGAGGGCGCGGGACGAGGCGAAGGGCGGCCCTCCTGAAGAGGAGAGCCCCCTGGAGGGGCAAGCCCTCTTTGGCGCACGATGTCTTGCCTGCCCCTCGGAGGGACGCCGACAAGGCACCACCACCAGCCCTGGCCAGGTCCATCCTGGACTGGTGCACGGCCCTCCAGGCCTAATTAGGCCAGGAGGTCCTGTACAGACAGGATGGGCCCGGCCAGGCCTGGTGGTGTATTGTCTGGAGCTCCCATGCATTGAGATTCGACGCTGCAAAATAAATGCAACATCGTGAAAAATCGCGACTCGAGCTCCGGACCCCATCTTTCTGCATCTTTTGTTCTAGCTGGGTCGGGGGGCCCGAAATTGAGCGAAAGCGCTTGGTGTGCAAAAAAATGCAACGCCCGGCTCTCGGGGTAGCCCCTCATGAGCCTTGAGTTTCAATAGCTGTGGGGGCAGGGAGGCCAGCCCAAGCATGGCTGCGCCCAGAGCGCCGCCCGACCGACCGACCCTCCTCTTTCGGGGGGATGGGGGCCGCGGCTATCTCGGGGCTGGCCCTCCTCGTGGACAGCCGGGCGGGTGGACTGGGCCTGGAGGAGAGGGGGGGCCTTTTTGGGCCAGAGGTCTGGGGCTTTCACCTCTACGGCTACAGGCCCCCCATCGGGGGCTTTTCCCCCTCGAAGTGAATGGCCTCCCTGCTGCATCGCAGCGAGAGGCGGTGGCGCCGACCCAAGTTCGAGGCCAGCAAAACCACAGGGCATCGGAGGAACTGCGCTGAGGCAAAAGAAGGGCGCGAGGCAGCCATCCGCCCACAGGAGCCCACACACGTCGGGGGAGGGCTCAGGCCAGTCGGAACCAGAACCGTCCCCGTCCAAGCGGGAGGGGACCACAGATTCCTCATCGCGGTGGACGAGCTGGTTGAGGAATGGGTCGAGGAGGCTTCAGACCATGGCGGATGCCTTATCTGATGAAGGTGTGGCGGTGATATCCATGACCGACCCACGATTGGAGTTCCGCTGGCTTCCAGACCCTGGATTCCCTATCCAATGGTTCCTTATCCAACATCCTCACCGTAGGGGGGTCAGGCTTAGGGAGGAACGTATCGACCCCAATCGCCCAACGATCGTCGATAGGGGTCTGATAGCCCCACCTCGCCCGCGAACGTGCGGATTCGCTATCGGGGGCCTGTCACCAATCTATCGGCGATGAACCGCCGATTCCAGGTCGAAGTGTCCCCCCCCCCTGAGCCAGTTCCCCAACAGTCCACTATTGCTGCCCCTCGGGGGTCCAGGGGGGCGAAGTCTGCTTCGTGCAGCGGGTTTCGCGCAGGACCGCGCTCCACGGGACCTCCGACCTGGAGGGTCTCCCGAAAGTGCCGCAGTCGCGCAGCCGGCGGTGCCCAGGGAGGGAGCAGATGACAGCTCGGGCTTGCGTAGGACCGCACTCGGCCGGACTTCTCAGAAGCTCCCCGAAGTGACAGCGCCCAGGGGAAGGGGAATCGAGGACGAATCGAAGAGGAAGCGCAGAGGAATTTCCTCGAGGACGCGGCGAGACAGAAGGGAGAGATTACAGGGATTAGAACCTTCGCGTAGCGAAATACTCATAACTCAAACCCATCCTCCCCCTGAACTCCTCGAAGAAGAAGACGGACAGGAAGGCGTACGACACGACCCAGAAGCTGGAGGCCATGAACGGGAAGTACGTGGAAAGGCTCCAACGCCTATACCACGAGCGAGTACCTCACGCCAGCACCTGGAAAACCAGAATAACTGAAGTTTCACTCCGACCCAAGACACGGCAGCCACGAGAACGTATACACGGGTGGTTCCAATGAGGGAGGAATGGCGGCTCAACCGAAACGGAGTTTGCTCTACACGGCCCACTATACTGGAAAGCGCAAACAAACCAGTGGTCATCGGGCAACCTCGAACTCCCAACGCGCAGGCGTGCGACGAAAGGCACCAACATGAGATCGCATCCACCGCAGACGGCCTCGCAGACCACTCACTGAAACAAAAACATATTGAATTCGCCTCCAAGCCACCAAGCCAGAATATGCACAGAGACCAGCGGGAGGAAAAGGCGCAGCACCCAGATGAACACCCCGACGGGATACCGCGGCCCGGGACGGGCGGGAAGCCGAGGAAGATGCACAGCGGACGCATTTTGAAAATCTCCCAGAACCACGAACGAGCGAAGCAGCCATACGCCAAAAGCGCGTGGGCAAGGACAGGCAGAGCGACACGCCAAATGCGTGCAATAAAAAGCTACGTCAAGCAGCCTGCCAAAGTACAGAGACACGGAATTCAACATAGTAATACAAAGCGCCCGACTGTGAAACAGAAGCAGAAAAAGCAGAGCGCCCCACGACTGTGAAGCACTATACTTTTTTTCATGGCGAAACATCGATGTGAGCCTGGCCTGGAATGACATAGCCCGCTGTCGCCGGACAGCTGATGCGATACGAAATTCCTTGAAAGCGTATCGGCTCCACCTGTGAGGAGGAGGAGGAAAGAACCAATGCGAATGCATGAAACTATTCGTCTACGCTGTACAAAGCAAAATGTGTAACGAATTCAGACCATGAGTTTTCGTCACTGAGGCAACGCATCAAGGCGGATTCAGAACAGAGGCAATGGCGAATCTTATTGTATAAACACTTTGCCCATTCGTGTCTTGGGCGCCCGGGCGCCCGCGCGCACAGGTCAGTGACCGGTTCACACTATCTGGTTGAAAAGTCAATATCCTCAGCACATTTGCACCACTTGCCCGTCCTAGCTTTCCAAAACGTACCAATTGATGCTTTAATCGTTGTGAACTGTATGGTTGCACCCCGGCTTTTTCCAGGACGGTTCTGTTGGAAATTCGTGAGATGTAAGAGTGGGGTATATTGAGAATTTGCCGTAGACAGCGCGCTTGGAATCCATCCAGCCTCCTCCATTCTTGTTTGTTCAGCCAAGCTGAGTTTCAAGATCACATGACTTTGCTTGTTATGAGCGCCCCGAACACTTCGAGCTTTTTTCGCGTACTGACTGCTGTGTGCTTCCATGCTCTAGCATAGAAGCACCCAAATACTGCATTTTCTCACTTGCTTTGATGATCTTGCCATTTGGGTCTCGCAAGCTGATATCGCATCCAATTTGAAGCAATTGGAAGTTGTTCCAATGTAGTTCCATGCCAATTTCTGCACCGGCTTCCGCGATCGCGTCCAAGACGCGCTGCAAGTAAGTCTCGCGTTTACCAACCAGAAGGGTATCATCGGCATACAGAAGAATAGATGTTTCTCCATCCCTCAATGATCGGAGCGCGTCTTCTCCCAGTTTGTCCTCTGCGCGCTTGGTCACGACACTCATGACCATCACATACAGAAATGGTGAGAGTGGGCATCCCTGGGCTATGCGTTCCGCACCTGTGACCTCTTCGAACCTTCTGCCACGCAAGAATTTTTGTTTTCGCATATGCTACCAATGATGCTAAGCATGTTGTCTGACACACCAAATTTCCCCAAATCTTCCCAAAGAGCTGGAACATTAATATAATCAAACGCCCTTTTCCAGTCCAGGGACAATGACACAATGTTCCCATCTCGCTGTGCATGCGCAATTTCAACATGCCGGCGCACTGCGTGTTCAGCATCAGACGTGCCCCGTTTTCTTCTGAAGCCAAATTGAGTTGATGTTAACCGTTCGTCTGCACCTGCGTGTAAAAGTTTTCCCAGTATCAAACTTGCAAGCAATTTGTACATAACATATAACAAACTGATAAGGCGGTAGTTGTCGCATTGATCGACGGGGCCTTTGTTTTTGCATATTGTTGATACAAGAGCGTGTCGCCATTCTGACGGTATTTGCTTCGCTTTCCA